CATTTGTTGACAAGTTGAGGGACAATTTGGGAGAATTTACTGTATATGTATACAAAATATACATCTATAATATATGTGTACGTTAAAAATAGCCTAATTCCACGTTTAGATATTATTCTATATTTGCTGAGACACTATTGGAAAATTTACATTAATAGAAATCATTTGAGTAGAAATCGTTGTTCAATTTCTGCCACTTAAACGATAAAATTAGATGAAATTAGATCCGGCTTGGAAATGGAGATCTGAAACGGAAATTACAATCGGGAGAATGCTGAATTCGTTAAAGTGTTAGTTATTCGTATAAAATCAAATTTATAGATGCGAATCCGCGCGGTAATTAAAACATAAAATTTCATTTATTTGTATAAACGTGGAAATCCGTCTGTTACAAATGAATTATTATAAAACACCATATTATAGTCGATGAAGCAGACGTTGCGATTCAATTGTAACGAACAGGATCACTTTTCACAGATAAAAGTCTTTAACACGTAGAAATGCTTCGCAAGTCGAAACAGATTAAAATCCAAAATATAAAATCGATTTAATAATTTAATTTGCGATTTTTGTTATTTATTATTAACACTTTTATGTCGATCTACCAATTTAAAATTTGTGCAACACACTTATACTCTTATATTCATAAATATGCGTAGAATGGGTTCATAAAAATTTAAGACGACTCTGTGACTATTCAGTTTCAAGTCGACCAGATTTTTGCAAAATAGAAATTCACGTTTTCGCTGTTCACTGCTCACGTTTCGTCAGCTAAGGAATGGCGTATTCAACGATGTTCTCTAACCCCGATCCGAGGCATGTTTACAGCTAAGATAGTGCACGTGCAAACATGATGTAAACTGTCGTTTTATACGTTGTTACATCAAATGGCAGCCGTTACTGTCGTAACTAAACTCCCCTACGTTGTTGGTTTCATAACTACCGGAAGATGATTCTAAGCCGCTGTCTAAAACTTTATAAGCGTAGTTTGTCTCGCAAAGCTGACAAGAATGTACGTCGTCATAGTGGATATAGAAACTAGAACGACTCTGATTCCGAGCCATCAGAGATTACACGGTTTTCTGAAATATTCGCGATACAGCTAACCGAATTAATAATTTCGTAATTTGCTTAATCGAGGTTTACTTAATTGAATCCGAAATCACGTTACACGGGTTCAAATTGACCGCGATAACTGCAATTTGATATTCGTGAAGGAACGTTAATCTTGAAATTGTGACAGATAGAGGAATTTTGCAAATTAGTTGTGAAAGAATAACAACGAAAGCACAATTTTTATTATAAGACGACACAAAAATGAACTAACCGGAAAGGGAAGAAGAGAGAAACGTCAATGTCTTTCTAGGAAAAGAAATTTCCCCCTGAACAATTTAATTTAGTTATTCCGTATCAAACAAAAGTAGAAATCGTTCTAATGATAGAAACTGCTGCAATGGATTAGCGAGCTTTCAGCAACTGCCCGATTAAAATACTTGCTGCCGAGGGACATCAATTTTTCAACTCGCATGGTTCGCTAATTTTTCAGGTTTTCGGACGGATCCGCGGGAATACGTGGAAACAAAAAAGGTTCGATTTTCCAGCGGATATAAGTTGGCAAGGAACGAATACCTCGTTGTACCTCGTGGATTTCTCACGTCCAATCCTTTTAGCTTCTATCGGTAATGGCACCTCTTGGGTAAACTTTGTTCGGCTTCTATCAGCACTAAATATGCATAGCTCAAATCTGTTTGCCGGAGAAGTTAATTAAGGTTTTAAGGATTCTAAAATAGAACTGCGAGTAGTGGAACGTGTGTTCGCCGTTCCTGCGCATCGATTTTTCTGCAGCTGCTCCGCGTTTCCGGCGAGCATTCGCGCACAGCCGGTTCGCTTCCTTCGAAAAAGCGTGCCTCTGTCGAGTAGCTATCAAACTTTGTTTCCATTCATTTTAGAAGAAAATGTTGGCCCTCCTCGACCCTCCAGGACGGCACGTATCCTCCTTTCGTCGGGGGCGGGAGTAACTTCTTTGATCGGCCAACGTGTTGACACTGCGCCGTCATAAATAGAATATCGATTTGAGTTTTCGCGGCGCCCGAGCGCGAAGGAATCCAACGGCAGGAATGCAACAAAAGGAGAGAATCGGGATAAAAGTGTCTAACGTAACGTACGTCGCACGTACGATAAAATCGTGCGAATTGCACGGCGCCGCGCCGGAACGCGACGTTTCAATGTTTATTCGGTGTCCATCGGACGTGTACTTTATGCTCGCGCGACATAAACTTAAATTGTCTCTCCGTGAAACGGTCGGGAACGTGAACGCGAGAGAATCGCGCGTTGCTAAATTTCGGTTTCATCGGTGAGAATGGAAGCAGAATTCAATAAGTGGTTCTACGGTGTTCGCCAAATTACAATTTTGCTGCAACTCTTCGGATACAACAAAGATGTCGAATTCATCTTTTCTTTTTTTATTACATTTCGCGGAAATGTTGTAAGACTCTATGCACATGAAATCACGCCAATTTGTGTTACGAATAATAATTTGTTGTTCATACGTACGATACGGTGTCATTGTTTACATCGTAAGAAGTTATTTATCGGTAAATTTTTATTTACAGCCACAACAATTAGGATAACAATCAAAATGTAATCTAAGACACGATTGATATTTTCGTTTATCAAAACTGAATGCAAATATATATTTTTACCGTACATATTTATATGGAGTTATTCACAAAATTGAGCGCACACCTTTTAAAACGAAATAACTTTTTTTAAAACTGAACTAAGTGACTTGAATTTCTTTTTAGGTAATAGTAGGACTCGTCTACTAGACGATGACTACAATGCCTTTTTTAAATTTTGCTATTATTTAGAATGAGAAAAAAAAATAAAAAACTCGTTTTTCAACATTTTTATCTGAGCTTATGACGGAAATTTAAAAAATGCCTCCCGTAGATATCGATAACTTATATGCATGTTGAAAATTTCATTAAAATCCTCAAGTTCTTCTATCATTTAAAAAAAATTCATGTCTCTTAGTCCAGTTTTAAAAAAGTTATTGCGTTTTAAAAGGTGTACGCTCAATTTTGTGAGTGACTATAAATATGTGCAGTAAAATATATTAAGGTACATTAATATGTACAGTAATAATACTAAGTAATATATTTATATTAAATGTATAATTTTTCTGTACATATTTTTTCTGTACTAATCTCTAACAGTCCTTTGTATATAGATTTTATGCATTTTCACTTTTCTCCAAGTCATATATTTTCAATTTGACGAAATTCAAACATCTTTCTTTAAGAGCGTGTACCAGTATCCGACCAGTTCTCCATAAAATTTAAATCGATAGAATGTACGAGTGGCAGTTAAATATACCCTTTTTTGCTTTTGAACATAGCTTTGATATTTTCGTTCATCCGTGGCTGCGTTACCCCGTTGAAAAATAATCTTCGGCTTGCTATGTGCACTGACCGCGTGCATATTGTAAAGTTCGTACCTTTCTGCGAGGTGCTTGATCCTTTGTCTAGTCACAATACAGGGGTAAATGAAATTTCATTTCCTGTTCACCCGTTGTCGTAGCAAAAAGTTAATTAAAATTGGTATTTTCATGCACAGAAGAGAAAATAATATTTACGTTTGACTTCAATGATAGCCTGTTTTTCACTTCCTTCATTTTTTCCAATTTATCCAAGCTTATGTAATATCGAGTTCAATGTTTTCTAAATGTGAAATGCCTTTTTTTTCTTATTTCTGCTTTGCATGCCTGTTCAATTAAATCTAAAAATCTCGGGCTCGGATCGAGATAGAACAAATCCGCACAGGATAAAAATTTAAACCGTGTACGGAGGTTTATTTTTCTGCTGCCTCACTTTTTCCATAAATGCTTTTGCAGTAGAACCGTGCAAAAAAAACGAAATGAAGTTGTGAAAAAACAGGTATTCAGATCGAATTCAATTTTTCCCTCTGCGATCCTTTTATGGCATCATTTAAACCACAACTACGACCTCGATTTGGCTGTGCTTTACACGAAACAGATAATTTCACGTCAGAATGATACTGAATAATTAACACGTTAAGCGGCGAATATCGACTCCAAACATTTCCAAAGCCGTTTAATTAATAAAACCAAAACTAGAAAGTCAACGGTTGCAACGGAAAGTACTAATTGGCCTCGTCGTGTTTTAAACATTCTAGAAATATTCCGTTTTGTCGATATATCACGATTAAAATGAATTTCAAAACGATCATAAATTAGTGTCGTCCGTATATGATCGACGAGGCGCTCAACGCGTTAAATGTAATTTACAGAACCATCTTGTTCGTCGAAAGTCGTTAACATTGAAACGAAAGTACAGTAATAAATGTACAGGTCATGCCAAATAAACCGTCTTCGTTTTTACACGGTGAAGTCGTTAGAGTCGGCGTAGATTCGCGATGAATATGGAATCCGTTTTCCATCCGGCAGATTATTGACGATAAAATAGTTTCGATGGGCACAATTGCGAAAGGAATCGCAAGGCAATGGTTTAACGGGGCGCAAATACAACTTATCGATCGTAAATGTATCCGAACGAAACTAAAGGTTACATGTCTCGCTCGTTTTTCTTGCCTCCGCGCATAAATGTATGTACATACAGGAAGCGCGGTGTTTCAATAAACCCACGGTCTTGTTACGGTAAAATCCGGGGCGTTGTTCAATTACACGGTGCTTGTTTCAATATAGAAGTTTATTTGAAATCCGATATATTATTCATACTGTCCATTACACATCGGATACTAATTAATTATGCTTGAAATCGCACGGTTTACACCGTTAAAAAATTCACGATCTTAATCTGGAACATCGAAGAAGGTAATGTAATGAATTAATTAACATTTGATAATCCATAGTTCGCATTGTATATTATTTTTGTTATACAGAGTGGGTTATACGACTCTTCCACCTGAATTATTCTTGCAAAAAAACTATGTATCGGACGAAAGCTGTTTGTTTGGTATAAAGAGCAAAAAAAGTTTATTATTTCGATAAAATATTTTAATGAAATGGAAAGATAGCAGATAGTAAGAACGGAGTTCACTTTCACAACATCGTCGTCATTGATTGACCACTTAATGAATCCTCGGCAATCAGGAAAAGTACGTTGGATTCCTCTCGTTGATTCCATTTTGATCGAAGGAGTTCACAGAGTTCATTTTCACAAACACTGGTCATCAAACACTGGCCACTTAATTAATCGTCGACAGTCGAGAAAGGTGTGCGGATGTCCTTTGGATTCCTCTCGTTGATTCCTGCATTCAAAGTGGGCCTCGATAACTGCTTCCTTTGCTTTCATTTCCGCGGCGCTCCACAAATACTCGAATCATTCGGTATCTGAAAGAGCGACTGAAAATCGCAAGCTTTGTCCAGGAAACCCTGTTAAAGAATTTTACAAATTTTACCTGGCGGCACATCTGGCACGGGCCGATGCCGTTGGCGAAAACGTGCACATCACCCAGCGAAATTCATCGTGCGAGGCCGGCTATTAGGGCCTAGGCACATACTTGATCGCCAAGGGACTTTTGTAAACTCCGTGTTTACCATACCGTTCCTACCTAAGGTCCCTTCGACCGTGTCCCTTCCTCGGTATGGCCATCGACCTGGGATCAACTGAACATTGTGCGAGGTCAGTGCACCGACACCGTGAATCGTGACCTACATTTCCCAGCAGCAAATGCATCCTCACCCCTAAATGGATAAGCTTACTATTAATGATATTCTTAAACAAGCATATCCTTCATGCTCTTGAACGCGATTTATTATTAAATCAGCTTTGCGAATCGTTCGTTGGATTCTGTTTGAATGCGAAATTATTGAAACAAAGATATCTTTTGCGTAAGTTTGACGGGATTTCTTATTGTTGATCTTCACTGTAAACGGCTCGATTAGTAATTAAAGCGTCTGTTATGGTTAAACCGCTTACTATTTCGGCTCCGAAAAATTAGTGAATATTCTTCAGAGATTCTAAAATAAGAGTGGGCAGTGTTTTTCTTAAAAATACCATTGTCGCATAATAAAAAGAATTCGGTAAGTTCACGCTCCGTGACTTGTTCATTGCTTCGAACGCGGCCAGAAGCCGTCGCGCCTCATGATCGAAGCCGGTGCCGCTCCCCCGTTCGACCACCTTGCAGCTGCGAACTCACCTCTCATTGGTCACTGTTTTTCGTTAATAACTCGTAAACAAAGCCGCGGATTGCATTTTCGCTAAGGAAAAAGTTACTTCAAATAACCTCAGGAATTTCCTGGAAACACGATAATTTTGGCGATAGTATAATATATTATTTATTATGCTTTATGTTGATCCATAGATCGCAGTGCAAAAAATAATGTAAAATCCATTCAGTCACATCTTAGCAGCCAATTCTTTTTACATTGTTTACACATACCTTTACGGTTTCCAACGACGCAATGAAGAACATCGGGACTCGCTTGGACGCCGAAAAATTCCTTTCTTCAAAATTCGACAAATGCGAAATATCGCAATAAACAATCGGTCATCCTCAAATTTTAATGATTTCAAACAGGCGAACAATCGGAAAGTGAACATTGCTGAAAAATATATGGTATGGTCGTCTGAAAAGTGTTCGTAAAGAAAAAATGACCACGATAAACGCAATAAAAAATGGGCGAATGGAAAAATGAGTACTATAAAATATTTTACTCTGAACGCAGAACGCTACACGAGTCTATAAATAATAAAAGATAATACGGGTCTGTATATTCCGTTGTATCTTGGCCAGCTTTTTGGGCCTAGCTCGAAGGTTCGAAATGGATTTCCAGTCATTGATTACACGACGTATCTCGATCCGCGGAACACAATTAGATCGTTGACAGCGCCGAACCCCGTACGGATTAGGATCAAAGCCTCGAGTCCTGTTCCGGTGGCACGAGCTCCCTTTAACGTCATCAGATTTGTGAATTGTTCCGTCCGTCGATTGTATCCTTTCCCGTTCTCGTATCGCAGTCATTCAAGGAGCGACTCTCGACCTCTCCCGGCTCGGAGACCTTATCAAAGCGAGACTTCGTGCCTCGCTCCGTTAGTCAATGTATTCGCTAATTAATCTGATTTGCCTCGCCGATACACACTTCGGCCGCGGATCTCTGTCACCAGGCGCGCACACGCATTTCCAGCCTTCTGTCGTCACGAACTTATGCTTAATCAATTCCCGTGCTGCCGTGCCACGCCATCCGTCAGCCTTGGGTTAATGTACGATGAACAGCGATGGCGAAACGTTCATGTTGCCACTCTGAAATAATACTGGCACTTCCGAACCCTTTCGGTCGATCAAGATGTATGCTCGCCGAAAGAATGATTTTATATCAGAACTACGGTGGCTCCGAAAAGTATAGTGTTAAGAGCTTGGGAGATATGAAATATTCCTCAAATATGCGCCATTTTAAAGAATCTAAGAACAGTTTAATAAAAGACAAGATTTGTTTGCTTTGCTTTTGTTATAGAGCAATTAATGTTTTCGTTTTCATTCGATTGTTTTTCTATGCTTCATCGAGTTTTATTTTCACCGTAGCTATACTGTGAACATGAATTATTTCAGCAAAGCAAAACGATTTCAATCTATAATTTAGCATCCCAATGGTCGCCAAAAGCTTCGATTTGTTTCGTAGCAATTTTTAATGACATCGTGTCACGACCATAATTATATCCGATCATTCAAGGATCGGTCTTCCGAATGTTCGATTATTACATTCAATATTCCGGTCACACGTCTGTCAAACGTAAGCTAACGTCGTGTAGCCATTTGATATTAACATTGCACGTGTCAGCACGGAATTTTGGTTACTATGGAGCACAGAATATATTGAAGATAATGATGAAGCAGAGTTGAAACGGATGGCGGCAATGAGATACTGTGTTTGAAATGCATAAATTACGTATGGTGTAATTACTGAAGAATTAGGAAACAGTCTATCCTAAATCAATAATTGTAGCGAATCTCTTGGATTTCGGAAAAATATTCTGTTTCGTCAAAGCGGAGAGATGCGGAAGATCAAATTAATTGCTTTTCGCGTTCCAGTTTTCTACGATTTATAGACCGATACATGAAATGCTAATTATCGTAAAAATATTTTTGTATTTCATTTTTCAGAAAGAAAAATCGGATTGTTCATTGAATGATAATTTAATTTTAAACGATAATTAAAAAGTTATAAAATATAATTATATTTTAAGTGGAATGTTGTTATTAGGACATTGTAAAACGTCGAATTTCTTATTAGTATCTTTAACATCTGACAATCGCTGTTAAACGAATTCAAGCGAAACTTTTGAATCTGGGTCGAGATAAATTGTTGACAATATTGATTAATGTGTCATTGTTTAAATAACCGTCTTTGCAGGAGTTCTGGCGGTTTAACGTTAGTATGAATTAGTTTAGTATGAAAATGATGAAACGACCTGATATAATATTATCACACTAAACTTGATTAGTCGAAATAACTTATACATATATTTTTTTAGACAAAATTGCCGAAAAACACTGGAAGATATAAGGCTAAATTACAGAATCGTCGAATTAGAAACGAGAGTTTATTCTCTAGACAAAAAGGTTAATGGTGGCACCGCATGGAAAACGTTACGGTCTAATGGTCCAACTGAAATTGTGAACGTCCGGAGGTGAAGTTAAACATCTGACCCAGATTGAATAAATTCTCTCACGTAGTATAATAGTAAGTGCGCCGATATGGAATCTAGTAGATCTACGAATAAGATCGTAGAACACTGATTAATCAATAGAACAAGTTATTAATTATAGCTCGCAGTATTTCCGATGTCGAACACCTACCATCACATTAATCGTGGATGATGTGCTAACTATTACAACTTGAATTTATTATTAGTAATCGACAATTTCAGATGTATAGACATCCAATGATTGGCAGTCGAATAATTAGCTCTAACAGCGCTCAGGTTCCATTATTGTACTTGTACATTGGCAGTGCAGTCGGTTGCTGTACTTAAAGCAGCAATCTTCATGAATAATTAACTTGATATGCATTTACACTGGAATTAATATAGTAAGTGCTACCATATGCATTCCGAATATACTGATCCGAAACAAAATAATGAAAGAGGCTTTTCAACGATTTATGCTACTCTGTTTATTTTTGCTCGTTACTTTTCTGCCGGAGATTCGACAAAATCTCTGTATCGAGTTCTTCAATAATGAAAACTTTTTAATATTGTAAAGTGATTCCTGTACACTCTCGTAGCAATTTCTCTGGCATAGTATAACATATTTTTTAGCATACCTATTTAAAAAAAGGACATAATTGCATTTTAAAAATTGATGCGTACAGTAAAAAATATATTTGCAATAACAGACGTAGACATGTGAAATCCTAATATTATAATTCTAATATAATAATATAATATATATATATATTATATATATATATTATATATATATTATATATTATATATATTATAATATATATATTATATTAATAATATATATATATATAATATTATAATATAATATTATATAATTATAATATTATAATATCAATAATTATAATATTATAATATCAATAACTTGATATTGATATTTTTAAATTTTAGATTCTTCCGGTTCTGAATTTTGCTCGACAATGTTTGCATAAAGTCCGCAGTCAGCTAATTAATCATCGAGCCCGATAAGAATCGTGACAAGTATTTCCAGATGTTCCAAGAACTCTCTCTCGACTTCTCTTCCCAGCGTCAACTGAGTCAGCTACCTGGAAGTACGCTACCGGAAGTGGCTGTCATCGGCCGCCGGAAGTTACCCCGGCATACTAAACGCTGCTCTTCCTGTACGGCCGTTTCGCATATTTTCCAAATATGCCCTCGGCTCGCCTGCGGAGGTACACCATCGATTTCTGCCTGGCTATCACTCGCTGTCGCTGCTGTCAAAGAATCGACACGTCCTCCGAGTTCCTGTTCTCCGTCAGCCTGCTGTTCCTGTTCTCCGGCAGCTTGCTGTTCCGGTTCTCCGTCGGCTTGCTGTTCCTGTCCTCTATCTGAACGGTCGAGCTGCTGTGATTCGCCCCGGTATGATTCGCCATTCCCGGCTGCACGTTCACGTACTTAGGACCCTCGTCTTCGTTGCGCTGGAAGTACTGCAGGCTGATCGCCGGCCCCGACTTGTCGTTGTTGGGCAACAACGGCTTCGAGCTCTCTATGTCGCCGACCACGTCGCCCAACAGACACTCCGGGGTCTTGTTGTCGTGGCAGGTGATGTCCAGGAGAGGGGGATTCGGAATTTCGAGGGGGCTCGAGGCGGACGTCGAGGATCGACTGTTCTGCCGGTGCGGCCAGGACAACGAGAACTTCCGGTTGTTCTCCGTCAGCTGCAAGTCGATTTGCCCGGCGTGCTCTATCTGCACGCTGGCTATAGGAACGTCTAAACACGGCGACAGGATCCGAGGATTCGTCGCCAGGAAGTCCACGATCTCCGGCGCCGTCGGCCTCTTCGTGTGGTCCGTCCTCCAGCAGGAGTATATCAAGTACTCCCTTGAAAGGATAACAATTTTCGTTAGACTTGTTCCCGATTTCGATAACCGGCGAGACGACGACGAATTGTCGATCGACTGCTTTTAAATTCAATGAATCAAATACGAGACCGCCGGCGAAGTTTGAAACCACTTGCGCATTCGAACGGATAATGTTTCACGAGGCTGTGGAACTTTCGCGGCGATACATGATAAATTGATTGCGACCGGTCTTCCCCGAAGCAAACTATTCCGGCGTACTGATAATGTACACTGTACATATGTATACCGGATACATGAATAATGATGTACACCTTTCGCTAGGATACACGTTTAAAGATAACAGTGTCGACTTTTCAAGCTCAACATTTTTACACGCGTTCTTCAATCTTACAGTAATGTCTCTCCAATTGACGCTCAGATTGTCCATAAAAGTGGCCAATTTGCGGAAGAGGAGATACGATTATTCGAGTCTTGCGGCTCGCTTTTATAATTGTGGACAATTTATAACTATAAAAATAAACCACAAGGCTCGAATAATCGTATCTCCTCT